CATACGGATGGATTTTATAATCCAGGCAAAGGAAACATGAAATCAAGTACAAGCCAGGGTGGCAATACTGGTGCCAAAGTCATTCCCAAAGAAACTCTTACTGAAGATGATTGGAAAGCACAAGTAAGTTTCATTGATAATAATCATAAAATAATATAATTTCATCACAGTCATCCTAAGCGGAAAATAGAAATTATCATTGCCGATCTTTTCTGGCCTTCGACAGACTAAGTGTTGTTGTATCTGCTGATAGTAGGTACGATATACGAACATACGGCTGACTCCAAGCTTTTTGAAGTGCCTGGAATATGACCGACGGCTTCATATCCATTTTGTGCAAGGCGATCACTAGAATCCTTTTTTCTTTAACACTCCTGGTTTCGTCATCATTTTTGTTGTTTTATATATATGTTTCATACATGCAGTCTAAATGAATTGAAATGGTCCAATCACTGACCAGCTCTTTGACTGGTCGTACTATAGCCGATCGTAACAGCACCGGCTGATCACGTGACAATTTTCGTGATGAGAAATCTTACCGATTCGATGCGAATGGCGGTTGCAACGGCTACATTATAAAATCCAAATTTAAGCCAAAGAACCCTATGAACCATTATTCCAATTCCATCAAGTTCCTGAAGTATTCCTCAAGTAGGAAACCTGAAGTGGACAGCAGATCCGAAGTGGAAACCCGAAGAGCAAAACGCAACAATGGAGAATCGATCCCCGGCTCTTCCAGGGGAATATACGACGATCCGTCTATGTGTAAGTAGTGCTTGGCCTATATCTTTCCTTCTTTCCTGTACCACTTGTCGATAGAAGCGATCGTTGATCGCGGTCGGTTGAAATGTAATTCATGAAATAAACACGAAGTACTTGCAGTTGTGTGCAAAAATGTTTAGGATGTGACGAAGATACCTCCACTTGGATTTGTGAAACATCTTTTAAGCTAGAAGAAACAACGAAGGCAGAAAAGATATTATTTATATCGTACCACTTATACAAATGAAGACAAAAAATGAGAACACATGCAGGAAGGATTAAGAGGAAATTCAAAAAATCTATTAAAACAGGTGGATGCTTCAAATCCGAAATACTCCGTAACTTTCGACCACGTAGATGTGATACGATTATTGAGTGATATTTTATTAGTGTAAAGTAAATTAAAAACTTAAAAAGTGAATATGTGGGTCACCAAGAATTGCAGGCATTAAAAACAAATCTAGAAAAATCGTCTCGTCATAAAAAATAAGAGGAGGGTATATGCTGAATCTGAATAGCAGTAATTAGCAATTTCGACAGTGGACCGGTGGGTGTCCTTCTGTGATCGTTCGATTGTAGTATTTAGTATTTATATGACTGATACACAGATTCATTCGATAATTTGAGGGAATTCAATACGTGCTGAAGTGAAATAAATGCTATTATTGAAAATAATGGCGTTGAGCTATGTATAGATATGTTAGGGGATTTCCTTATCGACCATTTTGGAACAGAACTATGTTGTTTTGCCGAGAACATCGTTATGTTCTTGGTTGTGAGTTGATGTTGATAGACTGGGCATCCAATCTTAAGTGATTACATATGTTTTTTTTGATGGATGATAATGGTACACGCCTGCGCTGACGGTTTACGCTGGCGAGGCACCAGTGGAGGACGATGCTAACATGAACATGAGGTCAGGTCAGTATTTACATATGTTTATATATGTTAGTGATCTAAATGATAGTAGACGCTGGTTGGATCAGTGTGTGGTGACTCGATCGGCATGTGAAACTGTTACGAACATATAGGTCAGGCTGTTTGTTGGTCTGACTGACCACTTGCCTCTAATCATTGAATGGCCATTAGAGAAGATTAAGCTAAAAATAAATATAGTAACAAAAATATTATAGGGAGAGAGCGCAGTGATTACTATGACCTTTGTAATATTAAATTAAAAGAAATCTAATTTCCTAAATTATTTGGAGATTGTGCTGACAAGATGGTAAATAATACTGTCATGGCGTGAACTTGACAGGTTGTATACTGAAATCTTACAATTATTATCAAAGCTAGCAACGTACCAAAGCAAAGCAAAACATACCAGCTGTGAGCTATACCCTAAGTGCAATCGTGTTGTGCTGGAATATGCATGTTAGAGAAGCTCACAGTGAGGCTCGGCTTGAGTATGAGGTTTGGTTGTTTAATAATGTCTGGGACAAACAGGCTGGAGTGTGGGGTCACGCAAGGAGGGTTGACGTCATCGAAGCTCTAAACCTGTATATTAATGATCTCATTGTTGAGCTTCATAGGAAACCATTTGGATGTCAAATAGATGGCGTCAGTATGAATAATCTCAACTACGCAGATGATATGGTGCTATTGTCCGACGGCGGATCAATCAGAGATTTGATACATACCTGTGAGGGTTACGTTTTAAGGCACGGTCTTGTGTATAATACTAAGAGAAAGCGAGTACCTGGTCTTTATAGTCCCTAAACAGCAGGGACCATGCGATGCGAAAATAGTGCTCAATGGCTACTTAAGAGAGTGCACCACTCTCTTAAGTAGCCATTGAGCAATATTAAGTTATTATTTTAAGTTAGATACTTATGGACCTGGACCTGTGGGACAAAAAGAGAGAACGCAGGGCGTTGGCGGGGAGATTAATGTTGGCGCATACATTCTCGCGGTGTAGTAACGAATCAAAATATTGTTTAAAGCACACTGCCAAACTTTTTACACAAGCGTCCTACAACCCCCTGTGTGTACACTATAACAACTGTATCAGGATATTGATGGGGCTATCGTGTTTCTGTAGTGCATCTGACATGTTCGCTCTTGCACGACTTTTATGCCATGATCAGAAAAAAAAAAAAAAATTGCAGCTTTATTAAAATTAAACATTGATTAAAAAAAATACCTACCTATTAAGATTACACTGCATTTTGTTAGTATACTTGTTAGTAGTAAGTAAGTAACAACTTATAACCACTAATAGTGTATTACTAATAAATATATTAATATAATAAATATAAGAATTTCACTAACATTAAAAACTAGCTGCACTCGCGACTTCATGTGAAATATCATTTTATTTTTCTAAAATAAAAGTAGCCTGTTACTCCTTATGCATATATATCCTTAATGTACATATACCTACTTCTAATATTTATACGTGGTATATATTTATAATATTAAAAGATAATACGTGTTATAGTAGTCATTATATTTTAATTTTTTAGGATCTGTAGTAAGAAGTTCAGAGGAATACTTAATAAATTGACCCCTTCTAAGTTTGACACTTTATTAGAGAAAGTGAAAACTCTCAATATTGATACACAAACACGTCTCGAGGGTGTCACTGACCTTGTTTTTGAAAAGGCTATAGATGAACCTAATTTCTCGGAAGCCTATGCAGCAATGTGTAACAAACTCTCAATGCTCAAGGTAATTAGATTTATTAGATTTACTATTTGCATATATATTTCATATGTCATCTTAACTCAATGTAAATTTACAGGTACCTGCAGATAAAGCAAGTGCTCCTAACCAATATGTAAATTTTAGAGCACTTATTACCAGCAAATGTCAGAATCAATTTGTAACTAAGAAAGTAGATGAGCAAGTTCTGAAATTAGAGAAAGAAAAGATTTATAAGTGAATGTAATGATCCTGTAAAGTAGAGTCAATTCTATTCAAACATGTTATACTTTAAATATAAATTGGATAATTTAAGAACTTGGATTAAATAAAATAGTATGGTATTGTTTATATTGAAATTATTCTTTTTATTTAGAACAAAAAGAAGGAACTGCAATTGATGCTTGAGGAAGAAAATAGGCGAGCCAGGATGCGTTCAGTTGGGAATGTCAGATTCATTGGTAATTTTTTATTAACAAATTACAATTAACTCATTTGGACATACTTGAGGTTTTTAATCTTTTTTTATTATTAAGACAAGAGCACGCACTATTAACAGTACTACTACCTAGACTATCATATATTACGTATTTAGAATACAAGCAATAACCATTCAAATTCATGTTTTAGTTTTTTAAGTACTTGCTTTTCCACTAAAAAATAATAAAGCTACATTTCTGTGCTGAATTATATTTACCTAATGAAAAGTAAGTACCACAACAAGCATTTATAAATATTTGATAAATTTAAAATTTGGTTCAGCCAGTTACTGATAAAAGCCGACTTGCGAAAAAGGCAATAGCAATTGCGAATGTATGTCATATATATATATATATAACATATATGTTATGTTCCATATATATATATATATATAGTTAATTCTTTACCTAAATGTTTTCTATTTTGTTTATACGATTGGTTATTGAAGATATTTTTTTATTTCAGGTGAATTATATAAATTAAAAATGCTTACATCTAAAATAATGGTATACTGTATGAACCATTTGATAGAAGATGTATTAGAGGAAGAAAACCTTGAATGTTTATGCATACTGCTTACTACAATTAGGGAACAAGTCGAGAGTGAAGCAAAAACCCAATTGGATTCTGTATTAGAGAAAATGCAGAACATAATTTATGACCGTAAAAGCAACAAAATTAGTAGTCGTGTTAGATTCATGATTCAGGATGTAATTGAATTAAGGGAACGAAGATGGGTTGTTAAGAGTGTAGTAGATTCACCAGCAGCAACGTCAAATTGAGTACAATCCGTTAGAAATTTATTACAGTGCGTTTTGCAAAATATTTGTTTTTTGTGTGAATATTGGGCACTTCGTCATTATTCATTGTAATCATTAAAGTATCTGTATTTAAATATGAATATGGAACGGTGCACTGGCTGACTGATGATGGCAAGGATACTAAGGCAATGATAGGATGAACATTAGTCAGGTCAGTTAGCACATAACGGCCAATACACAAGGAATTAAATGCAAGGGACACCTGTGTGATCGCACGCATGTGACATGACATGGCTACATACATTGCTAGCAATGGGTCTCTTACTCTTCTTTACAAAAGACAAACAACGATGTAAATGTGTGTCTATTTATAATATAAGAAATACTAATGACCAAACCTCCAACCTCCTAAAATTGTCTAGTTTTAATTTACAAAACAAATTACTATAGAATTTGCTCTTGATTTTATCACCAAAACTATTTTTTTTCTGAACAGCCGAAGTATTAACAGATGTAGTAAAAGTTACGTCGCGGGTAGAGTTTGATTACCAGGAGAATCATCGTCTCTTTATGTCTGATTAGTTATCGGGTTTTCAGTAACCTATGCTCTTTTAAGCCCATATATGTATGTTGGGGACTATTAGTTGGTTGGCCATCACATTATGATGATTTACTAACTGTATCTATTTGAAGCAGCAGTGTTTTATCTTTGCGGCCACTGTGTATGAAGTGAGATACTTATGAACCTTCCAATGTTCTTGCAAACACAAATGTGCATTTATAATCTGTTTCTTAATATTGTCTTCAGCCCTTAGTATTATGCTTGTTGGATTGGAGTTTTCAACAGAACCCCATAACTGAATGCTTTGGTCCAGATTGGTTTCTATATAGAGTTGAAGAGAACTTTGTTGTCAAGGGATAATTTTCCTTTTCTGCCTAGCAACCAATACATCCTCTTGTATTTTATATTTGGTCTCTTTTTATCTGAATGTGCTTTCTTCAAGTCGGCCGATGATGATCCAGTTGCATTACAAGATACTTCACTGTATCACTTTGGGGGAGAGTTTTCCTATCTAGGGTAACTGTGGGGCAGTTTCCTGGTCGCATACTGAATATCACATAAAGTGACTTGAATGTGCTGGCAACTATATTATATTTTTTGAGCCACTGGTTGATGAGAATATGGTCATTTTGTAAAGCTCGTGAGGCTTAATTGTGGTACGTATTGCAAGTTAGAACTGAAGTGTCATTAACTTATCGAGCTATGGTTAGACCTTCACATTGTGGTAAGTCTAATGTGTAAATGGTATACAACACTGGTCAAACCTAAATTGATAAGTCGAATATTAAAATTGAGTGTGATACACAAACTTAAAAATGAATGGGATATCATTGATTTGTTACATGAAATAATACGACATTAAATCATTGTAACATACGGATGAACAAGTTGCACCATATGGGTTCTATTTTGCACTAGTACACATTAGAAGCTACAGACACTGCCGCTTACATAATCCTGGAGCTGGAGGACGCTGCGTGAAGCATATGGAATTTGAATTTTAATACTGTATACAATGTTCTGTTTTACCTTTTCGGTCTGGTATTCTGGTACAAAAGAATTGCCCTGATTATTTTTCATGTCTTATTTGTTTATTGTATTTGCAGTTATTAAACGCCAATCCTATGGGTGGTTCGAAATCGTGATGAAGGTGGTCGTGGCAAACGTGGTGAAGGCAGAAGACAGAACTCTAATTCCTTCCAAATGGATAATAGCAATAATTGGATACATAACAAACGTTATACAATAGATACTTCCAAGTTAAAAGCTGTTAATTTAACAAGTAATAAAAGTAAGTTCTTTTGTTTGTTTACACACACCGTTACTGCAATTTTTAACGTCTTTGTAAGCTATACACATACTTGAATCGGTAAGCCACCTCTTTCACAAAGATTAACATTGTGAAGGTGGACTTTATTAACATGGATTAAAAATTAGACACGTTCCTTGGTATGGTATATTGCTATATTCCTAATATCGTAGAATCAAAAGGCACTGTAAAAACAATTGCTATCAAAAATAAGAATAGAATGTCAAAATTAAAAATACAATAAAAAATACTATTATATTTGTTAATATTTAAAATTTGAATTCTTTATAAAGAATTAAAATTAAATAAAGAACTGTATACCAATTATGCAATATTGTATGAAATCGTTTCTATTTGTGTAGTCAATTGAAGTTATGACGCAATACCAAATAATTTCAATTAATAAAATGCGATAATGTAGGATCTAATGAAAGTAACAAAATTATTTATGTTACATTCATTCCAAATATTGTTAATCAACCAATTTAAAAAGTGAGTACAATACCGTAGACACACAACATTATTTATTATGGTCCTAGTTAGATTATATATTTATAAGGGTACCTTTATTGGTTTGATATACTTGTGAATTTTTAATGCCTTCAAACAATTATAATATTAATTGCGTTGTTCGTCGTTTCAATGCCATGCTGTCATTTCGGCAAAATTGCGATAACGTGACATTGTAACGAGGTTACTTAATCGACATACGATAGAAATATTTTTTATCTATAGGTAAAGTTACGTTTACGTCGCTATGCTATTTGATATCGTCAATAAAATGGGATTACTGACAGATGGCGTCATTTTCACTGCGCCACATAACGAAAATCGTTGCGGTGTATGTTATATAAATAGCATATATACTGAACATAAGTTTCATTCTCAACAATTGTTCTTGATTGTTACGGTATATAGCATTAAGGAGCCTCTTTTTTTACATGCTGTGCTAAGTTCAATTTGGACTAATTGACACTAGTAAAAAAGGCGTTGGGTATTCAGATTTATCAATACGGTATTATAATAGTCATTATTAGAATTAACTGTAATCTATATATCGACAAATAAACGACAAAAAGGAGAGTCCTATAAACATTTTTCGTGAATTGTAATTAATGCTTTTAATGTTATAGTGCAAGAACATCTTTCTTTTTATATTGTTTCAATTTGTTAAATAATTATTGTAGATGTCAGACCAGACATGATAAACATATACTAACTGTGTTATACAGTGGTAATCATTATTATGACTGTAATTGGAATATACAATACAGGCTGCTGTTTTACATCTATGTGATATTATATTTCAGAATTTAAGTACTGTTAAATTGGCTCCTCCTGCATGGAGCCCTGCATTCAGTACTAAAACTGCAGCACAAATTAGTAGTAACAGCATGGTTGGTCTTACTAACAACAAGTATAGTGTTTTAGAAATGCAGCCAAACGATTCTAGTCCCATCAAAGGTAAGTTATTTTTTGTACTATCCATAATGACACTTTGTCATTCTTCAAATAACAAGAAAGCAAAATAAATACATTTTTTTATATTCGTTTAGATCAAGAATATGTATTCATAGTGGCTATATGCTCATTTAATTCGAAAGAAACTAGGTTTAGCCCATTAAAATAATCAATGCAGTAGAATTATCCCTAGTCTTAAAGAATTTGGGTTTGTATACTAAATAAAAAAATTCATGGCTTCAAATTCTCTTTATAATATATATGTTTTTGTAGTCGACTTTCTGATTGACGTCGGCCCTTTTTGTACATTTATGGCGATTAAAATGTTTCAATATTCTAGGGTAGGCATAAAGTAACTAGGTTTGTTATAAACTGGAAGTGAATAATTATGTTGGTGAATATAAAAGGAGGTTATTGCAATTATGGGAGGGATGTGGCTATTAATTGTAATAACTCCGGAAAATGTGGTTGGTTAACCATGACTTAATACTTTATATTAAACAATACGTGAAATCTAGTCAGTCAGTTGTGATTCTTGAATGTATGTTTTCAAAATTATATCACAATATTTTCATTCAAATTGACTACATTATAATTTTTTTAGGAAAAAGATACATTCCCAACCTATCAGGCAAAAGGTGCTTCCATTGAGAGGTCGACATTTACTAGAAGTGATTTCAGTAAGTAATTAATTAATTATCCTTATATTAGTCATTACAAAATACGTGTTAGGCTCTATTTGAAATACGTCAGTGTTATTATAATTAATAGCATCCTGAATGGTGTGCACCATTCCATACCACTAGTGCTTTACAGAATATATACAGTAGGAGTAGGTGTATTCTGTATGCATAGTGTGTACGTGTCATGTCTTTAATATCACTACCCCATCTGAGTATATCAACAAGAACACGGACGGCAGGGCTCTCGGTGGCTACTTAGTCACTAATCATAGTCGCTAAATGTACCTGATAGAGACTCCATATTCTTTCGGTCAGAGATAAATCATGAGGTGACACTTCCTAGTCGATATCATAAATGTGTATATAGTATAGTAGGAAATCTACTAGTAAACATCTTAGTTTGTTTTATCGACTGGGTTTCTTAAGGACTAAGATGTAATTTAATAATAATTTTGTATGAAGAGAAACTAAGGTCGTTATGAACATTAGTCTTAATTTAAAATGTTAATTGTGAAGAATCAGTTTTTTACTGTTTTATCAATAATTATATCATAGTTCGGTATTACGTCCATCTATTATTGAAAACCGCACATAATTCAGAGCTGAATGCTTGCTAACTACCTATCTATTTACATAAAAGTAAGGAGTCTAGTCATATATTTTGCGATATTCCAAAATAATATTTGTAACTGTTGTATTATTTAATAGTTATTGATATTAATAAATATTTTTTTGTGAATCCCTGGTTTAGACTAAATATCTCTCACCAATGGAGCCTATAATGAAATATTATCATAGATGCATAACTAAATTTGAAACGTAATTGTTTGAAAATCATTAATTCCTTATCAGAATTGCTCTTACTTATAACTAAGACAAGGAAATGAGATTTAATAATTTTTTATTATGAAGTAACTAACTACTCGGCCCGCCTTCGCCCGGTTATATAATATTATCTATTAAAAAAAACCGTGTCAAAATCCGTTGCGTAGTTTTAAATATTTAAGCATACATAGGAACAGACAGCGACAGCAACTTTTCTTTTATACTATGTAATGATGTATAATTGTTTTCCCGGAAATAAAGGATTTTATATATATCTGTACAACCATTATCACTGGCGAATTGGTTTGTTATATTATACTTAAGTTTTAGTTAGTTAGTTAAACTTGATTTGATAACTTTAATGGATTCTTACGACATCATTCAAATAGAATAGTCATGATACTATTAGAATTTAATTTTTTTTAGGCAGCGGCAGCGGTGGCCGTCCAGGTTTAGTGGTACAGCTCGATCCAGCTCGGGTAGTCGCAGCGTAAGCGCTGCACCTCCTACCCCACCAGTCATTGCTGAGATTCAGGCCCTGTTACAGCAGCTGTTCCACAGGATCCACTGCCAGAAAACAAGAAGAAGTCTGTTCATGCAATGATTAACCTCGCTCTTTTGAACCCTGTTGACGATGAGTTGATACATGAAATACAAAGATTTGATACAAGAAATCATGCTGCAGTTGTTACGGAAATACTCAACATGGCACTGGAGAAGTAAGCTAGTTCATATCACATTAATTTTTGATCCCAGTATCAAAACTACAACATATGTTTCTTGGGAAATGAATAAATTTTCTTTACAAAAGAATATTTGATTGTATTATAGTTTCTTAATTCTTATATATAAAATCTAATATTTAGTGTATTTGATAATTAAAAGTATGTATATTTCAGATCCCAGAAAGAAATAAACACTATAGCGAAGTTACTCTTACATTTGGTTTCAACAAATACTATCTTACCAGTTCATTTTGAATTGGGCATAACAGAAACTTTAGAATTTGCGCCTGATTTGTATATTGATATACCCATGTTATATGAATATTTAGGAGTGATCATTGCGCCGCATATTGAAAAGAGGGTATGTAAATATTTAATCATACAAAATAAAACCAAGGTTTGCCAGTGAAATATTAAAAAAAAAAAACACTTTGCCCTTTCTTTTAATTTTCATATTCAGATATAGCTTTAGCTATTCCTGAATCGATTTGAGTGTAATATTCAGTGCTTCATTCACACATTATGCTGTTCCAATAGAACTTAACCTTTTATGGTAAAAGGTATACCTATGACATTATAGTAATTCGTATTGAATATGTGAATTATTTTATTACTTTTAGTATTATAATTAAATTACTTTAAATAAGGCTCCAATAGTGTAATGTATAAAATTCTTTTGTTTCAAGACCCGAGAAGAGAATAATGATGGTAGGATAATTTAAAAAAAGTCCTATTTTTGTAACCCAATTGTTTTTTAAAATCTGACGTTTTAGAAATTCATATGTAATTGTCACGGGAATGGATTTTCTTACAGCACATCACACTACTTCAAGTGTTTAGGCTTTCTGAAAATATTAAATCTGCGAAACAAGGACATTTACTACTAAAAGCAATAATAAGAGAGTTAAGAGATAGCATGGGACCTACTTTTGCAAAAAGTAAATGGCTGGAATCAATCTTCAGTTTAATCAATGGATGCATGATGACCAGGTATGGCATAACTAAATAATTTCATAGTTACTCCAGTATTGATTGAAAGTTATATGATATGATCTAAAATATGCTAATAATTGTAACATTTTTAGGTAACGTCAAGAATCTCTTTCTTCTTATTTATCACATTATAATGTATTGACTTTTACATCGTCCTAATTTTGTATCACGTAGGTATATGTAAAAAAGGTAGTACCACTATATTAGTATTATGAATTAACAGTATGTTTAATTATTTATATTGTTTTAATTTGTTCAATAATTATTATAGGAGATATCAACTCGGGCCATATATAAAATAAATAACACAATAGTAATAATCATTATTACTGCAAGTTAAGCTTTGATAATTGGAAAATATAATACAGTTGTCTGCCTTACATCTATGTGATATTATGTTTCAGAAATTAAGTACTGTTAAATTGGCTCCTCCTGCATGGAGCCCTGCAAACAGTGCTAAAACTGCAGCACAAATTAGTAGTAACAGCGTGGTTGGTCTTACTAACAACAAGTATAGTGTTTTAGAAATGCAGCCAAATGGTTCTAGTCGCATTAAAGGTAGGATAATTTTTATACTATCCATAATCATACTAATATTATAAAGAGGAAAAAGTTTGTTTGTATTGAATAGGCCCCTAAACTACTGGACCGATTTGATAAATTATTTCATCATTAGGAAGCTACACTATCCCTGAGTGTCATAGGCTATATTATATTTCCAAAAAAATTTAATATAGCCTATGACATATCTATGGTCTTTATCAAAATAAATATTCATATTATCGACTGCTTCAATACCTGTATATAACTTTTTGAATTATTCAATTCGGACATTCCATTCGAAAGATATCACGTATTTAACAATGTAAGTATTAAAAAAAACCTACTCCTCTGTTAGCAATAAACCAAATGTGATGTAGGGACGTCACTGGTGTTGAGAAAGCTCTTTTGATATTAATATATTTAAAGGTTTTTTTTATTCTATAATAAAAATATAAAAACAAAATTATATTATGTCACTTCACTATCTACCATCTTACCATTAAATACATTTTTTCAGTCATAAATAGTTTTACTACATATTTCTACAACATACGTTATCAGCACGAAGAATAAATAAATTTTAAAGACGATTTAGCTTACGTATAATGGCTGGGATGAATTTTTGTGATATTAAAATATTAGTAGTGAAGATTATACGGCATGGACGTTCAAAATGAAGATGCTGTTGGAACACGAAGAGCTGTGAAATGTAGTAGATGGTTATGAATCCAGTGATGATACACCTATGCATGTGCGGAAACGTAAGAAGGCATTTTCAAAAGTTTGTCTTTGTGTGGATGGTGCCGCAATGACGCATGTGAGGACAGCAACGTCAGCAAAAGATGCCTGGTATGCCTTTGAATAAGGCATATGAAGATCTGAGTCTAGGTCGAAAATTGGTAATGGAGAGACGGCTGTATCAATCAAAGGCTGTTAAGACAATCGTCCCTACCCATATCCTATACATTTCGGTATAACAGCACACCCACCCTTTTACATCTTATCTCTCTCTCGTCTCAAACTCTGATAAAGTCTGTAATTTTGGATACTTACGGCTCCTTTCTTACTATGACCTTACGATTAAATATAAATTTAATCGAACATATCTCACCACATCTCTGAAAATTAAACTTATATTTCTTGGCCTTCGTAATTAAGGGAATTGAGTTGTAAATGCTAAATAATGACGTTGAATGGCCCTGTGTGTTAAATTGTAACTCGATGGATGATATCATTGAAAACTTTAATTCACTCAAACTTCAACTGTACAACAAACAGGCTCCTATCAGAAAAGTTAATGTCAAACATCTGCCTGCTCTGTGGTCATCTCAAAATATTAGGTATATGATGCCAAAGTGGGATAAGGCTAAACGGTTATACAAGCGTTTTTCATCTGAGAAGAACTTACTATGCTATAAAAAACTGCGGAATCAGTGTAATCGGGTATGTAGGGCTACAAAGACATCAGATTCATGAATCCATTCATAGTAATTCAGTTCATATTTGGAAAATTTTAAGTCACTTGCTATTTATTGGCAAATTTTCTTCTTCAACTTGTCGTTCTAATGTGGACTATAATGCGCTTAACAAGCATTTCTCTTCGCCTCCTGTCACCGTTGATAACAGTATTCTTCCAAGGGTTGAAGCATTGTTAACTCTTGATAGACTTCACCGCCAATTAGCCAGCAATATGTTTATACCGCCGGAAAAACTACTGACGCAGGTGTAGCGCTTATTACACATATATTCGAATCATGGGAGAAGTCACAGGAAGCACTCGGGGTTTTTTGTGACCTAAGACGTTTGATTGCGTAGATCATAAAACACTTTTGTGCAAGCTCGAACTCTATGATATTAGTTTTAGATTAAAGTTTGAGGAAATTAATATTAAAACGAACATTCCTTAGGATTCAATCTTAGGTAATAAAAATAAGCTAATGTTACGTAAATATCGTCTACACAAAGTCAGTATTTCATTCTATGGTAACTGCGTAAGATTTTATAATAAACTGCCAGAAGCAGCACAAATTTTGTGTAAAAAAAGTTTATTATAAGATAGACTAGCTGCACACGCGATTTCGACCGTGTGGAATTAAACTTTATTTTTCTAAAATAAAAGTAGCCTAAGTTACTCCATCATTATTACATCAGCTACCTGCCAATAAAAGTCCGGTCAAAATCGGTCCAGCCATTTCAGAGATTAGCAGACAGACAGGTAAAAAGTTGGTTATTGCAGGATTACAAACAGACACTCAATTTTATTTATATGTGTGTATAGATGTATGTGTATATGTAGAGTATGCATTTAAAAAACGAAATATCCAACTTAAAAATATTTATTTTAGGAAAATACAACTATTTATGTTACTTACTAAATAAAATCATGACATAGTATAAAACAAAGTCGCTGTCGCTGTCTGTCCGTCCCTATGTATGCTTAAATCTTTAAAACTACGTACCGGATTTTGAAGAGGTTTTTTTAATAATGGCCAAGCGGTCGCATGCGCGTGAGTTGCGCGCGATATTGTACAGTACTCGGAAATTGCAAATAGACTTAATTTTCTAAAATAATTTTTTTTTTCTAAAATAAAAGTAGCCTAAGTTACTCCTTATTACATTATCCACCTGCCAAAAAAAGCCCCGTTAAAATGGGTCCAGCCAGTTTTCAAGAGATTAGCCAGAACAAACGGACCGACAGACCGACAGACAAAAAATTGTAAAAGTGGTTTTTTGGTGTATGTAACTTATTGTTCGCGCCTATTGACGACTGGGCGCAAATAAAGTTAACGGCGTGATGTTGGCAACAAACGGCTTCACTTCGACACAATTCAAATAAACGCAACATCATAGTTTGTACCATTGTAACAAAATTATAAAATATAAAAATAATAAACGATACCGAGAGGAAAGGAAGGGTCATTTCAATCATTTGGACCTTCTTCGCCGGAATAATACTTCAAGATATCAAGAAATAATAAAATCGACTACAATAATTCTTCAAGATACCACGGAAGTCGATCGCCGGTGTGTATCAAGAAGACGATATCGAGAAGAAGAATCAGCTCAGATTATACGGTCAGGCCTATTCGTTCCATTCCTCTCCTATACGACTATTCTATTTGTGTTAATACTGTGTTATTTGTGTGAAATTCCAGTTGCAAAAGCGGTCACAGTGCTATTACCGAGTCAGGGTTCAAAGGTCGGGGTGATCTTAAACGATTGTAAGTACGCTTTATTTTCCATTTACTTTCCGAAATGAGTGATAAAGATAAAGGTGATACTTTAAAAATGCGTGTTTCGTCTGAAATTCAGGGTGGTAGTAGATCGCCATCCAAAAAAAGTAACGGTAATTTTGAATTTAAAACTGCTAGTATTTCGAACCTTAACAAACAAAGAGGTATTTTAAAGGCTAGATTAACATCATTTGAAAAATATATATCCAAATTCGATAATATTCCTTTAGATAAAACTCTTAAAATAGAATTAAACTTAAGGATATCCACATTAGAATCGGTATATAAAGATTTTGATGACATTCAAAGTAAAATCGAACAATTAACAGATGATGATGATCTTTCTAATCAAATAACATATCGTGAGAATTTTGATGAACAGTATTATGGATGCATTGCGGTAGCTAAGTCTTTAGTTGTTGATGATAGTCATAGTTGTGATTCTCATTTACATCGTAACCGAGAAGGCTCCCAAATAAAATTACCCGACCTAAAATTAGTATCCTTTGAAGGATTTTATGATCAGTGGCTAGAATTCAAAAATTCCTACTGTACTATGATTCATAAACGTACTGATTTGGATCCTATACAAAAATTCCATTACTTGCGGTCGTCACTCAGCGGTAGTGCATTGCAGGTGATCAGTGCATTAGAATTCACAGCTGAAAATTACACACATGCGTGGGAATTGCTTCTTAATCGATTTCAAAATGATCGACTTTTAGTACACAACCATGTTAAGTCTTTATTTTGTATGCCATCTATTAATAAAGAGTCGCCTTCGCAAATCAGAAAATTAATAGATTGCATATTACGTAATTTACGCGCTTTAAAGACGTTAGATGAGCCGACCGAATCATGGGATACACTTATAATGTACTTAATAGTATCAAAACTCGATCCTTGTACCGAACGCGAGTGGGAGAATTACAAAGGTTCTCTTATTTCTAATATACGTAATGATGACTGCAATAAACGTAAATTAAAACTGGATGATTTGTTAACTTTTCTTAAAAACCGTGCAGATCTATTAGAAATGATAAACGCAAATAATTCGAATAAAAATACTAATGTCACTAAATTAAATAATAAATATGTTCACGACAGTAAAATTCAAAGGTTACAAACACACACACATAGTTATTTAGCTAATAAAAGTAAGCCTATTAAACGTATACGATCTTGTATTTTGTGCAATTCAAATCATGCATTGTACTTATGTAGTATGTTTTTAAATCTACCTGTCAAAGATCGCATTAAATTAGTAAACGATAACAATCTTTGTTGTAATTGCTTGCGTGCTGGACACTCGGTCAGTGATTGTTTCTTTGGCCCTTGCCAGCAATGTAAACGCAAACATAATAGTTTGTTGCACACCGATGTGCACTCTAACGGCGAATCGTTGCCGAGTAATAATGAGCTCTCCGCAGTAAATAATACGCACCATACAACATCTACTGTGTTGCATTCATCGCTATCTATAGATATACATAGCAGCGATAACAACTTCACGAGTACGTCACGGGCTCAGCTGACCGCGCGACCGGTTTTGCTATCTACTGCACAAGTCGAAGTACTCGATAGTAATAACAGACTACATACGGTTCGCGCTCTCTTAGACAACGGCAGTCAACATTGTTTTATGTCCGAAGCGTTATGTAAACGATTAAATTATACGAATTTTATACAGTCCACTATTCAAATATTAGGTGTAGGACAATCGGTCTCACACTCTAATAAATTATGCGATTTAACTATACGATCTAAATTAAACGATTATTATACGAATATTAAATGTTATGTTTTACCTTGCATCACTTCAAACTTACCGTCTGTGAGTATCGACGTTGGTTGCATATCGATTCCGAATAATATTCAACTGGCCGATCCGACTTATAATACACCCTCCGAAATCGATTTATTAATAGGCGCGGAGATATTTTGGGAATTATTAATCGATAATAAAATTAAATTAAAATGCGGTCCTTATTTACAAAATTCGCAATTAGGATGGTTGATATCCGGTCCTATTAATTATAATAATCCGCATTATAACAATAATGTTTTGTGTAATTTTACACAAACTTTAAACGATACAAAATTTAAAAAATTGGGTGGTAGAAGAGACTCCTCACGTCGGAATATTCTTACTTCTGACGACCGTAAATGCGAAAAAATATTTACCAGCACGACAAAACGTGAATGTGATAGTAGATTTTCAGTTCATAGACCGTTAAAGGAATCAGCTGATTTATTAGGTGACTCATATACGGCAGCTTATAAACGTTCTATTCCTTTAGAACGTAGATTAAAGCGTATGCCACTTTATAAACGTATGTGCCCTTGCAGTGACTTCAGGCGGGTATATCGCGAGTCGGGTCACATGTCTCAAATAAAAAGGTACAGTTGGCCATATTATTTCCTTCCACATCACGGGGTATTCCGTGAGGATAGTACCACAACTAAATTATGAGATATGTTTGATGCTGGTTTTTAGGCAATATCAGTTCGTAGCGTTCGTATTTCTTTCGATAAACATTAATTAATTCTGATTCATGTAATATATAATTCAGTAGTTTCAGTTAAATTATTTTGTGTAAAAGGCAAAGTACCCCCTTTAAATTCATTAAATAAATAATTTAATACTTTAATAGGTGTGCGATTATATAAAAAATAATTTATTCGATTAGGTTAAAATTTATTGCAATTACTTTAGACAGACTCGACAATCGTGATGGGTTAGTTACGTATGTCTCCACATTTATTAAAAACCGTTATACAGAACCGAGTATTATAATAAATAAACGAATTAATAGGTGATTTATTGTGGTTACATATAGACGGTAATAATAATCCAGCGGACCTAGTGTCGAGCGGTCTTTATATAAACGCGCTTAGGGACAATCGTCTATGTTGGGACGGTTCGACATTTTTAACATTGTAATAAATAATTAAACAAACAAAATTTAGGTATTTCAAATGCTTTACCTGAATTGAGAAATAAAATGATAAATATAGTTTGCGTAAATTCGAAAGAAAATATATAATTTTTAATAGGTTTTCGACATGTAATAAATTAAAGCGAACGGGAACGTATGCACTTACGTTCATTCATAATATTCGTACTAAACAACAACGTAAATCCGGTTCTCTCACAGCTGATAAACTGATGTCGTCAGTACAGGTGTTATCGCAGATTGCACAGATGCATTCATTCTCATCTTTATATAATAGTTTAGTTAATGCGATTTCTATAAAAAAGTGTAATGAAACAAATAAGGTTTAGGTTAAACGTATTTGTAGATAGTAATAAATTAATTAATATTGGCGAGAGACTTAATCATTTTAATTTTAACTATAATAAAATTTATAAAATATTGTTGTGTAGTAAAAGTAGATACACAATTTATTATTCGAACAGAAACATAAGTCAGTAAGTAACTGGACCAGTTTTCATATTAAATCTTAGGGGTGCTAAATTAATTAAAGGTTATATTTGTTTATTTACATGTCTTGCTACGCGATGCATTCATTTAGATTTAATGTTAATTATTCATTTAGAATTAAAATTAATTCATTTAAATAAACGATTATATTTTAGTATTTAAACGTTTTATTGGAAATATTTTCCGATAACATGAAAATTGTAGGCACTGAGAGAAAATTTTCTTCAATTTTACAAAACGGATTAGATACGATAACTAATTTTAGCTAATGATAGTATAAACTTCACCTTCATCCCTCCATAGGTGCATATGGAGGGATGAAGGTGAAGTTGAAGTGGCGCATATGCACATTTCGGGGTTGTTGGGAAATTTGCGTCAAATTGTGTAAGAATCACCTTAGACGAATAGTAGGCAATGCTAATTTAAATTATGAGGAGTTCAGCACGGTATTGACACAAATAGAGGCCGTCCTGAACTCCCGTCCCCTCTCAGCTATGTCCACAGATCCCGCCGATTATTCACCTTTAACTCCTGCTCATTTCCTCATCGGCCGACCTCTGACCGCTCCTGCTTGCCACGACTTCACCAACACACAGAGCAGTCAACTCATTCGATACAACCGGGTGGAACAGATGAGACAACATTTCTGGAGAAGGTGGTCGACGGAGTATGTGACACAGCTACAGAACAGAATCAAATGGAAAGAAAATAAAGGCGATATAAAATTGGGAACTCTTATCTTAGTGAAGGAAGATAATCAACCCCCTCTTAAATGGCGTTTGGGAAGGATTATACGAGTTTATCCAGGCAAAGACGGAATCTCACGAGTTGCTGACATTCGCACGGCGACTGGCCAAATACAGCGTGCATTTACAAAAATTTGCCCGCTGCCACTATCTACTGATGAAAATAAATCATCAGCTCCTACAACATCGTCTACAACCTATACGACAAATTCTGATAATGGATATATATTTCAATAATGAATTGAAAGCAGCGGCTTCCAAGGCGGGCGGTATGTTCGCGCCATCTATTGACGACTGGGCGCAAATAAAGTTAACGGCGTGATGTTGGCAACAAACGGCTTCACTTCGACACAATTCAAATAAACGCAACATCATAGTTTGTACCATTGTAACAAAATTATAAAATATAAAAATAATAAACGATACCGAGAGGAAAGGAAGGGTCATTTCAATCAACAGTAAAGAATAAATATTTTTAAGTACAGTACTTACGTACATTAATATAATACCTACTTTTTACTTGTATCTATTGTCATCAAAATTAAATTATAAGTTCTTAACTTGACATCGACTATGTGACCCTCTCTTGGCGCCAAAACGAGTGAAAAAATGAACAGCATACGACGACGACGCAGTACCTATAGAGTGGAGCAACTGCTTATTCAGTTTTATTCAACTATTTAGTCCCTCCACCGTTACAATGAATGGAGGCGGATATTACAATGTATGTAGCATTGCGAATATAAAATATCTAGATTAGGTATAATAAATTCATAATTGATAGGCCGTTACGGTATCAG